GCCCACAGTGGATGTGGTGAGAAAGGAACTGTGTGGTGCTGGGTTGTTGTTTGCTTCAACCTCTCTGGAAAGCAGCATGGAGGTCTCCCAAGAAAGCAAGAATAAGAGGTCCCACAGGCATAGAATGACTGCGCTCATCTGTGGAATATAAAGTTACATAATGGGAGACTAACACCCAAGGATAGTAGCGATAAGGGCCAGGAGGATCGCTCCACAGCTTGAAAGCCGGCCTCACATGCTGGGGGGAAAGGCAGCTGGGATAGAGAAGGGAACACCAAGTAAATGATACTTGGAGAGCTCGCTCAGGATGGGAGGTGTGTGCTGAAAGTAGACTATGAACCAACATGATGGCCACTTAGTACCTGTATTGCAAACCATAACACTGAAAAGGAGAGAGAGAGTAAGAGGGAATGTGCCTGCCACAGAGGCAGGAGGGGGATGGGGTGGGGTGGGAACATCGGTGGTGGAGAAAGGGCACTGGTGGAGGGATGGGTCATTATGTGACTGAAATGTAATCATGAAAGTTTGTAAGTCTGTAACTGTATCCCACCGTGATTCATTAAAAACATAAAAATTTAAAGAAATTTTTTTTTAAAAAAAGAACAGAAGTCCCAGACAATTCAGGGATTTCACTTCTTGGCATCTACTCCCCCAATACAAAGCCACACATTTGAACACAGGGCACAGGGCACCTTAGTGAACATAGCAGCTCTTAGTAGCATCCCCAGGATGTGGAAAAACCACCCAAAGATTCATCCCACGGCAGGTAAATGCATCAAGTTGCGCTGTGCACAGAGGAATCCCAGGCGGCTCAATGAGATGTAATCGAGCCCAGAGGGACCCAGCGGGCCTGGTGCTGAGAGAAGTCGCAGGAAGGAGGGAAACAGACATGTGACGGGCTTGCTCAAAGGCAGCGGAACGGGAGAGCTGGTCCACAGAACCGAGGGGCAAAGGGGCGCAGGCACATTGGTGGGGGGTCCCGGTGCAGGAACAATGTCCGCATGGAACTGTCATTGACAGAACTATCAGTTGTGGCACCTCACTGTCACTGTCCTCCCGTTGTTCATGGATTTGCTCGAGGGGGCCCAGTAACATCTCCATGGTGAGACTCGTTACTGTGTATGGCATATGGAATACATCATGGGTAGCTTGCCAGGCTTTGCCGTGCGGGCGAGATCCTCTCGGTAGCTTGCTGGGCTCTCTGAGAGGAGCGAGAATCGAGCTCGGGTCGGCCATGTCGGCATGCAAGGCTGCTGTGCTATCGCTCCAGCCCTGTGGCGCCTCAATTTAAAAAGAAAAAAAAAAACAAGAGAAAAACACACACAAAAAAACAAGGTGGCCACACTTGGAGCCAAAAGACAAAGGCTTTGTCTTAACCTGAGTGGACATGAGTCTGGCTGGAGATTAGCACCTGGCTTCAGGCCCCTCCTCGGGAGGATTCCAGATGGCATGTGATCACGAAGGGTCAAGGTCAAATCTCTCCAAGAGGATTAGCAGGAGCCCTGGGTACATGGGGATTCAGAAGGGACCTTGAACCCACACAGGCCTTCCGGAAACTCCTCAAGACAGGAAGTGGCTATTTTCGAAGGTCAACTTGACTTTCTCTTTCCAGCCTCCAGGTCTGAGCGACTGAGTGAACCACTGCTCTCTAAAGGGGCCTTTTTTTCACCTTTCTCATAGGATACCAGAGGAGATCTTTGGGGGGAGGCCTCTAAGGGCAGCAACGGCAGGGGCGGGCAAGAAGGAGTGAGTTATCACGGCTTGGAAGCCGATCTCAGGCTGGGGGAAAAGGCAGCTGGGATGGAGAAGGGATCACTAAGTAAATGATGGTGGGAGGGCTCTCTTGGGATGGGAGATGCTGTTAGGACCCGCTTAGCTGGAGAACTGCCATGACAGACTCAGAGTGACTTAGGCCTCTTCCAGGAACAAGGAAAGCAGAAAAACCAGATGCCGTAGTCAAAGATTACATTCCCCGGAATAAGATCAGGTGTCCGGAATGTAACTGTCAGGGAGGTGGACAGGGTGTTGCAGGCCAAAACAACAAATATATGTGAACTCTGCAAGTAATAGAAATTTGTTGAGTAATGCTTACTTGCCAAGATGAAAGTGCAAGAACTTGCTGAACCTAGTGCTCGGGGTCCTTCTTAAAACCCACTGCACCAAGTGGATACTTGCACCCCAGCTAGCTGGAGCAATAAACCTCCTATGTGATTTGCACAACCGGCTCTGTTCTCTGTCCTTGAGGGGTGTTCGACTCCGGACTCTTAATAATGTGTGCTGAAAGTAGACTATGGACCAAACATGATGGCCGCCTGTATTGCAAACCATAACACCCAAAAGGACATAGAGCATAAGAGGGAATGTGCCTGCCACAGAGGCAGGGGGTGGGAAAGGGATACTGGGGGTGGCAGGAGGGATACTGGGAACATTGGTATGGAAAACAGGCAGTGGTGGAGAGATGGATACTCGATCATTGTTTGACTGAAATGCAATCATGAAAGTTTGTGAGTCTGTAACTATCTCACGGTGATTCATTAAATTTTTTTTTTTTTAAAAAAAGGAGTGGGTTAGAAGCCTGGTGTCTGGCTCAGGGGCGCTGCCCTCCTCCCCTCCCACACCCGCCCCATGACCTCAGGAGGAGGAAAAATGAGGGAGAAACCCATCTCCCAGTCGCTGCCTGCTCTCAGCTGAGGGGATCCAGTATGCCAGAGGTTCCCCAGGTCACGGACACGTCCCTGAATTTAAGCGGTGAGCTTTGTCCCTGGGCTGCTGAGGGAAGCTGAGAAGCTGGGGAGCTTTCCCGCTGCTGAGAGCCTCTTCCTCCCAAGCCACACTTCCAAGGCGATGACACACCTTAGTGACAGGCAGGTGACACGCCTCCAGGTGCAGACTGGCGGGGACAGGACCCTGGTCCTGAGGCTTCAGGGTCCTGCTCACAGCACAGCAGCTCTAGAGCTGGCCAGGAAGGAACTCTCAGTTCACCGGAGAGCTCGTCAGCTGGCTGGCTGCATAGAGTGTGAAGTCAGCCCTAGGCCCCTCAGCCAGTCATTCTCATTGAAAAGCCTCTAGATTCTTCGAATCTCCCTTCATCACCACCCACTGCAGGTCAGGAAAGGCCAAGATTTCTCTTCCATCTTCAAAGTTCTGCTGAGCCAAGCAGACCCCCTACCTCCTTGGCTAGATGGTCTTCATGGCTGATGGGGGAGGGGAGACGGCTCAGAGGGCGGGGCAGTGCTCTGTAGCCAGAAGCACCTTGGACAGTGGCTCCCCAGCACAGAAGGTGGGTCCCCCAATTTGAAAAAAATGTATTCCCTTATGTGAGTCTGACGTAGGCAGGATAGGGAAGGCTCTCTCCCAAGGCAATGGCAAAAGCTAACGTTGCAGAAAATAGAAAAAACAGAAAAAAAAAAACAAAAACAAACAGGAACTAAGGCCTGATAAGACCCGCACCTGGCACCAGCAACAGACCCAGAGAAGCTCCTGGGCCAGGAAAGGAATTTTAAAAACCAATCACCACTCAATCTTCCTAGACAACCTCCTTAGCAACGGACTTTGACCTAGGTATAAGCCCCACATGGGGGCAGGTTGGAGAAACCCTACAAAGGCCACCTTGAACAAAGGAAGTGTGCCCATATGCTGTCCTAGCCCAAGTGCTGCTTGCACCCATGTGGCCAAGCACAGGTGGCATCCGAGCACGTGTTGCCTGGATCTCCCCTCTTGAGATGTGGACTTTCATGCTTTCATGCCCAATGCTGGGATGTGTGTAGGGGTTGTCTCCGCCCCTGGAGAAACCCAGGTTCTCTTGAGCGTGTTATTTTCATCCTCTCTCTTTCTCTCTTTTCTCTCATTCTCTTTCTCTCTCATTCTCTCTCTCTCCCCCCTCCCTCCCTCTCTCCCTCCCTCCCCCCCATACCTTCAAAAGCCCTCCAAATAAAATCCATTTACTTCACTGCTTGTCTACTCCTGAAATTCCTTTCTGCAAGGCAAGACAAGAACTCAGTAACCCTGGGTCCCAGATGGTAGAGGCGGATGGAGAGAACGTGACCGTCTTTCTACTCCTGGCTTTACATAAGTCACTGTGGAGCCCACCAACACCAAGTCTACCATATAAAATCCAGGATCCCCCAGCTAATTGTGAATTTCAGACAAACAAGGTAGTATTTTATTTTTTTTCCTCTTGGTAAATTCCATGCAAAATATGGAGCCACCTTGTGTGAACAAAACGATTTGCTGTTTACCTGACAGTCAAATGTTGCGGGGTACCAGCATTCCCAAGAGCTAAATATGGCAACTCTAATTACATCCATTACCAGCCATGACTAGTTGGCGCTTTGTGTCAAAAATTTAACAACATCCCAAACCCTGATTCTCTCCCTTGCCAGAGCAGAACACCCTCAAAACAGAACTTGTCTCTTTATTTCCTGGGCCTGTTTTTTAAAAATAAATAAATAAATAAATCTATGAATATGAGGGGAAAAAATAGGTGGGGGTGGGAGTAGGTTTGGGGTGGGGAGAGATGTGTCTTATTACAAGTGCCTCTAAGTTCGGAGCTCAGCCTGTTACAGGTCACAGGCCTGGATGCACGACTTAGTCCAAAGCAAGGAGCCAGATGGGATTGGGGGGGGAGGGGGAGAGAGGGAGAGAGAGAGAGAGAGAGAGAGAGAGAGAGAGAGAAGCAGAATTCAATGGGAGCTCAGGGACAGCAAAGAGGGGAGGGAGCAAGGGACAGTCACGGAACACACACGTCACTGCACCAAGAGCAGCGCCCACACGAAACAGTGAGATGAAAGAAAATGACGCTGATTCTGTGGACGGGCCCAGCAGTCAAGGGCAGACGCTCCCCGGCCCCCTCCCTCCCCGCAGCCACGTGGGCCACCAGCTAACCCTCCCGCCCACCTCTGACGCTCTGATGAAGAACAGCAGCTGCCCCCAGGTGCCACAGCAGGCGATAAAGGATGAAACCTGCTTAAGCTTTTAGAATCGCATTTATTCCCCTGATCATGTTATTCCTCGCCTAATATGGTGGTCTTCAATTTGTTATTTTTTTTTCATGGTGGAACGGTCTGAATAGCTCCATCAACCGAGGTAGTGTTCACACGGTTTGCTCTCTTCCACACGGTGTTCAAGCGTTGATGTCGGGCCCCAAACCCTCACTGGCAAGGAACTGATGATAATGAAATGACACCAAGGGGGAGGCCCTGGTGCCACGGGTCACAGAGCGTTGCCCTAAGCAAGTGGCTCCCCAGCAGAGGGGGCCAGCAGAGGGGGTGGGGGGCCCTAGCACTAAAAATACCTCTGACAAATCAAACGCCACCTGTAAGACACTCTCAGAGAAAGGTCAGGCTCATCAATGATTAATCCAGGATGCTCGAAAGCGAGAGAACGACATGCAGGGCTACAAGCTGGTGAATTTCCGTTACTTCTTCTTCTTCATGGAGTACAGCTTCTCCTCCAGCGGGACGGGGACGATCCCTGCACACTCTTTCACTTCCTGGGTCAGAGGGTGTTTCACGATGTTCGGTCTGATCACATCGATGTCACGGGACAAGTGCTCCATGATGCTTTCCACCATGGTGGTTGGTGCGTGGAAGTCCACCAAGAAGTACCTGCAATCACAGGGAAAATGGGGTCAGTGCCGACAGCAGGCCCTGCAGCCACGCCACGCTTCAGGGTCGATGTCCTCATGTTGCCCCCTCCCCGCAGGATGGTGCCACACACCTGCCTGGCCAGCATCGGTGAGGGGTGCCAACCTCTCCTGCCCATGACACACTGGGGAAACTCTGCAGCCAGCAAAATCTCACACACACACATACACACACACACACACACACACCTGTGATGTGACATTTCATACACGATGAGCCCTAGTGAGCGGGATCAGGAGCGGCACCTGCTATCCCCCAAGGCGGAATTTTCCAACCAGGTGGCAGAACCCTTTCGTGGAAACGTCTAGAAGGCCATCAGTCTGTGGCCCCCTCCGTTTTCTAAGAGCGACCTCCTGCCCCTGAGCAGGGTCCCCAGGCTCCCCCTCTGCGCAAAAGGAAGGGCATGAAAAAGGGTCCAGGTCAGGCTGCAGCGATAGCAAAGTGGGGAGGGTATATATTTGCCTTGCACATAGCCGACCAGGTAGGGTCGACCAGGGTTCGATTCCCAGCTTCCCACAGGGTCCCCTGAGCACCGCCAGGAGTCATTCCGAAGTGCAGAGCCAGGAGGAACTCTTGAGCATCGCTGGGTGTGACCAAAAAAGAAAAAGAGAGAAAGAGAGAAAGAGAGAAAGAGAGAGAGAGAGAGAGAGAAAGAGAGAAAGAGAGAGAGAGAAAGAGAGAAAGAGAGAAAGAGAGAAAGAGAGAAAGAGAGAGAGAAAGAAAGAGAGAAAGAAAGAAAGAAAGAAAAAAGAAAGAAAGAAAGAAAGAAAGAAAGAAAGAAAGAGGGCCCAGGATGGCTGAGACGACCCTGCAGTTAGACACAGCCGGCAAGGGACACAGTCTCCGCGAGAACCTGGCTGTGAGGACGTGCCTCTGCCCATAGGCCAGCAGAGACGGGCATCTTGCGAGGCCCCCAGACACGCCCACCTACCACCCGACAAAAGAAGGGGCCCCCCACCTCCACCTCCACTCGCTCTGCTCGGTCTGCAGCCTTCTCCGGGGCTTTATCCCATCCAGGATTCCTTCCGCCCCACCCTGAAGCAACCGCCGCCTCCTCCCGACTCTCTGGCCCCATCCACTGCTTTCCTCCTGCTACCACGGGCACGCACTGTGTCCTCTGTTCACTGTCTGTCTCTCGCCACTGGCATCCAACTGCCTTGGAAGAAGGGTGGTGGGTGCCAGCGGAGCCCTGGCAAATATTTGATGGCAGCAGCAACGGCATGAATGGCAGGATTCTCACGGACCAGAGGGAAAACCGAATTGAAAACCCAGCCATGAAAGAAAGCTGGAAGGGAAGGGGGGAGGGGGAGGCGGTGAAAAAACAAACCAAAAAAAGGCTAGCGTGTTGTGCAATTTCATTCAAAGAGCCTCAAAACGGTTACGCAAACTTTCTGAGCAGCCATTTACTCTTCGCCAAGCTTGGGGGGATGGTGGGGTGGGGGGATGAAGAGTCACTCAAGTGACTATTGGTGACGGTGGAGGGAATGATACAGAGCTGGGGGGTCACAGAGAAGAGGCCGCGGCCCTGGGTGTGTCCGTGCCAGGTCACAGAGGTCAGCACGCAGGGTGTGAAGGCCAGGAGTGAGAAAGAGGCAGAACCACCTGGCGGTCTCGTGGTGCAGGGTGGAAACGCCCTTCCTAAACACCCTTCACCGATGGGTGTCTCTGCAAGGAGAAGGGGGGTGGGGCGAGGGGTGCTAACGGGACCACCAGTCAGCTGGGTCTGGCCTCCACAGACCCTTCCCCCAATGCACTGCTGCTCTCATGGCACAAGGAACACTGACTAAGCGTCCATATCCACCACCCCCCCCCCCAACTCGAGGGCACAGAATGAGTCTCGAGAAATCTAAAGGATGGCAGAGAGATAGCACCCCTACACGGCTGACCTGGGTTCGATTGCCAGCACCCTGTCGGGTCCCCCAGCCCACCAGAAACAGTACCAGGAGTAAGCCCCAACACAGCTGGGTGTGGCCCCAACACCAGGAAATAAATAAAAATGGACAAAGATAAAAATCTAAAGGGATATGAGTAATAGGGGGAAAAGCTTGTTGGAAAACCTCCAAATATTTGGAAACCACACACAGGTATAAATAAGGCTTGGGTCAACGAAAGAATCAATATGGGAATTATGAAGAATTTTGAATGAACTAAAAAATGTATCAAAAATTGGAGGATGCCACTAAACAATACTCAGGGACTGAAGCGATAGTACAGCGGGGAGGGCGTTTGCCCTGCATATGGCTGACTGGGTTTGATCCCCGGCATCCCATATGGTTCCCTGAGTACCACCAGGAGTAATTCCTAAGTGTAGAGCCAGGAGGGTTGGAGCAATAGCACAGTGGGTAGGGCTTTTGCCTTGCATGCGGCCAACCTGGCCAACCCAGGATCGATCCCTCCACCACTCTCGGAGAGCCCGGCAAGCTACCAAGAGTATTCCGCCTGCATGGCAAAGCCTGGCAAGCTACTCGTGACGTATCCAACACGCCAAACACAGTAACGACAAGTCTCACAATGGAGACATTACTGGGTTCGCTCGAGCAAATTGATGAACAACGAGAGGACACTGCTACGGTGCAGTTCTACAGAGCCAGGAGGAAACCCCTGAGCATCACTGGGTGTGGCCCAAAAAACAAAATAAAACAATATTCAGCAGAAACTTACTTTAGCACCTTGCAAGGTCGCAAAATCAACCATCTGAGGAAACAATCTGCGCTTCCATTCTAGGAAACTAGATAAAAAGAAGAGCAGAATAAATGGGAAAAGAGGAAGAGGAGGACAGAAAGAGGGAAGAGGAGGGGAATAGCTGAAAAATACCAACATGTAAAACTTATTCAGGAGCCAGAGAGATGCTGCTTGGGTAAGGTTCATGGGTTCACTACAGGCACCACAGACCACCTCCGTGGGCCTGGAAGTCCCTGAGCACTGCTAGGGTGACCCAAGTGGTCCGCCCCCACCCCCCCACCCCAACAGGATCCTCAGAGCACAGCATCCTCACAGGCCCAGCTGCCAGGGAGTCAATGGGACCATCCTAACCCCCGCCCCCACCCCCACCGCTGCTGGGGGTCTCCTGAATAAGGCCTGCGAGCCCCACCCCAACCCCCAAACACAAACTCATTCAAGAAAAAAATGAATGATTAACTAGGCCTTCCTTGTTCAAATAAATTTAAACCGCAGTGGAAAACCTTCTCAACAAACTCATCAAAGAAATGCACAGGCCCAAATGGCATCACTGACAAAATTCTCCCTAACAAGCAAGACAGAAATCCCACTTCTGACACAAGTGGCCCAGAGTCTAGGAAAGACCTTCTAGTCTGTTCTCTGCCAACACTACCCTGATTCTAAGACCAGAAAGCACACAAAAGAGAAACAAACAACAACAAAAATAAGCAGTATCTTCATGAACACAAATGAAAGTTTCTACACGAGACTTTTAACAAATTGGCTGGGGGTATGGTGCTGCCAGCAGGTCAATCTGCACCTGTAAGGCGAGTGTATCAGCAGCCTGATGGCGCCTTCAGACTTCCAGATACCCCAAAATTGCTGCTGTGCCTTTGGTCAGACCCCAAAAACTTGGGGCAAGGTTTACCAAGAAAGTAAACGGGCAAAAATTAGGTATGTGGGAGACACACCCACGAACCACCTCTGGCTCAGCTATATAATTGGAGACATGGCCTCTCTGGTTCCTGATTGAACTGCTTAATGGCCATGATCCCAGAGACTCAGAAACCAATCTCGAAACCCAGTGGCTTTTGGAAGAAATGCATCCGGACCCTGCAGTAGGTTACTGTCGCTGGGCCACCCCAGGGGGAAAGATTGCTGTCCCTCCGCTTGCTCCCCCTTGGTGGCTCTGTGGCCACCATCCTCCAAAGGTCATTGGACAGTCAGGTTTGGTCCTGCAGTGACGAGACACACGGGGTCTCACAGGATGGGGGTGGAGCCGGTCCTTTCCTCCCTGCCCCAATGAGACCCCGAGTCGCTGCCCACGAAAGGCCTCTCTGGCTCCTGATCAAGTTGCTTAACGGCCATGATCCAAGAGACTCAGGAACAAATCTCGGAACCCAGCAGATTTTGGCAGAAATCCCCCCAGATTTAATCGTTAAAATTTTGTAATTTCAAAATTGCGCGGCCACTACTGCAGCCACGCAACATCATAATTTATTCATAACCAGAAATAGAAAACAAATTGTCTACTGTTGCCTTTTCAGCATATCTGAGTGTTGGGGTAAAATCCCAAATAATAATGGTGGGTCTGGTGTCAAAATATTGAATGTAATCAAAGTGGAGAGAGAGTAATGTGAAAATCATCTGCCACACAGGTAGGGGAAGGGTATGGAAGAGGGTTATACTCAGGCTTTTGGAGGTGGAGAATGGACACTGGTGAAGGTACGGGTGTTTCATTGTATGAGCGAGACTTAAACCCAGAAACTTTGTAACTGCTCTCATGGTGATTCAATAAATAAAATTAGAAAAAAATGAAAAAAAAAAAAGTAAGGTGGAGTCCATGCCCAATTCAATCAGCCTAATCAGTGGCTGAATAAATAGCAGTACTCCTACATAAAAAAACAAACAAACAAACAAACAAAAAAACAAATTGGCTAGTATCACATATGAGAAGGATATATCAAGATCAAATAGGATTAATCCCACAAATTCAAGACCAGTTGACTTAGCATTTCAAAATCAAGAACGTAAGTCATCATACCAACAAATGGAAAAAATAAAAAACTTATGTAACTTATCGAATGCAAAAAAGAAAATACCCCTTCTTTAATCCAGATAAAATTCTCTCAGCAGAGATGGATTAAAAGAACCCATTTCAACCTTCTAAGGGTCATATCAGAAAATCTACAATTAACATTATACCATATGATATGTCTGAATGATTCTCCCTTAGGAGGGAGAATAAACAGGATCTCTCTCACTGTTGCTGATCTCCATTTATTTGAAGATTCTCACTGAAG